TGGTGGCCAGGATACAGAGCATCCCCAAGGAGTGACATCCAGAAACGGGGTGGAGGAGGAGGAGGAGGAAGACGGTGAGCAGCCAGATGTGAGAGCTGAAGCGCAGGCGAGCTCTGAGAGCGGGAGCAAGGCTGGCGAGGGCCAGGCGGGCGAAGGAGAGGCCAAGGTGCTGCGGTTCCGAGTGACCTGCAACAGGGCTGGGGACAAGCACAGCTTCACCTCCAACGAGGCCGCCAGGGACTTCGGTGGAGCCGTGCAGGAGCACTTCCAGTGGAAAGCTGACATGACCAATTTTGATGTGGAGGTATGGTGGCATGCCTTGGAAATACCTACGTTTCTGCAGTACAAGTATTTCGCTCTTATTTCTGATGCTTAGAGATCTCCAAACTGCCTTCCAGGGACTCTGGAACTGAAAACTGGTAATGCTGAAATTGGCCTCTTCTGAAGTGTTCTTTTCCCTGGCAACAGTACGTGTGTCCTCTGATGCAGGCACTTGCCTTGCTTTCACCTTCCTCTAATGCCTTGTTTAATAGCAGTCTGAGTCACCAGGAAATGCTCCAAATGGGAGCTGGTTTTGGGCTGAAGGGGACAGAAGGAATTAACAATAACTGTCAGGTGTTTATTTTCCGTCAGGGGAGAGCAGAGGCTGGGAAAATACAACCAGCACCCCTGGCCCTTTGGTGGGTAGGAACCACTGATTTTGAGGGGCAGAAAGACCTAAGTTTTTCTTGCATCTTTACTAAGGGCTGGCTACTGCCCTGGAGTGAGGTTTCACCTTCCTAGTTAATCTAGTCCCTACCATAAATTACTTTTATTGCTGCTTTTGCAGATGGTTCATTGTGTCTTGCAGGACTTACCCAGCTTCTGCCCCAGACTTACAAACCAAATCTTTTAAGAAGCTGGTGCTATGGTTATAACACTTTGAGAGGTCTTGTGCAACAGATTTGGTGTGAATGCTCACCTGAATTCCGTCCTATTAAAATGGTGCTTTGCTTTACTTCCAAGAGAAGCCTTTTATATGTCATTCCTGGATTTTAAATTACCATCTAAGATTGTGTTAAGTATTTACTAGGCATTCTGTGGAAAGCTTCTGTTACTCCTGACGTTCACTTCAAGTTTTTTCTTTAGGTTCTTCTGAATATTCACAGCAGTGAGGTGGTGGTGGGGATTGCATTGACTGAAGAGAGTCTCCACAGACGGAATATCACACACTTCGGACCCACCACGCTGCGTTCCACTCTGGCTTACGGCATGCTCCGGTCAGGGCAGTTACATTGTATTATGCTCAGTTAACAAGTCTTTTTGTTTAAGAAATTAAACCTTTTATCTCCCCCACTGCTTCCTCAGAAGCCATTTCTGTTAACTGTTAAAGAAAAATAAATTAAAAAAAACCCCTGGAGTTGTGGACACCATGTGCCTTGTAATAACAGTGAGTGTTTCCCAGCCAAGGAAAGTAAACATTTGCTGTATTAGCCAAGTTTCAAAGTAGTGTACCACAGTCTTGAAAGAATTCCACTTCATTGTTAGTTATTAAAAAAACGTAACTAGTGGAAAAAATAATCACATCTATTGTTTTGTTAGAAGGGTAGAATCAGAGTGATTAAAATAGTTCACTTTCCCTTATTTACAGAAATTCAGCTTTTTAAGACATTTCTCACCATATCTTTTCTTCTGTTCCTCAGACTCTGTGATCCCCAGCCCACAGATATCATAGTTGATCCCATGTGTGGTACAGGTGCGATACCGATAGAGGTGATTCTTCCTTGATTTTTTAAACTTAATTAAACTTGTCTATATCTTAGCTATATTCTATTATAGCTGAATAAAATGTGTAAATCTTCTTAGCAATGACTGAATAGTAAGCTCCAGTCTCACCAGTTCTTGAACAGAGGCAAATACATTTTTTGTAAATATCCTCATTAAATATCCTCATTTTCCTTCCATAGGATGTAGCAGGAAAACACTAAATCCAAAAGTATTTTGAGCTTTAAAGGTGCAAAATACAGCTATCTGTTACAGAATTCCATATTTCCAGCGATCCACTTGCAGTTGTTTTGTTGTTATTCTGTCATGTTTGAGAACTTATTCTGTTTTTTTTCATTCAGCAATGTTGATGCTAATGTTGCTTATTATTTCCCCTGCAGGGAGCTGCAGAATGGCCCTGCTGCTACCACATTGCAGGGGATAACAACCCTCAGGCAGTGAAGAGAGCAGCAAACAACATCAGCTCCCTCCTGAGGAAAAACGAGAGTAAGGACAGGTGAGAGGAGCCTGAGGGATTTACCTTTCCTGCAGTGCTGCATGCAAAGAAATCCACTTTGCATTGATGCGCTTGAGCGTCTGGTTCTTATTTTCTTGTTTATTTTGTTGCCAGCACTGTAGGCCTCCCCAGTGTAAAGGCCGTGTGAGTGCTCACGTCTGCTTTTGCTGTTGCAGCAGCGCTGCCCTGGGCGCTCCCCTGGACGTCATCCAGTGGGACATCTGCCGGCTGCCGCTGCGGACGGGCTCCGTGGACGTCGTGGTGACGGACATGCCCTTCGGGAAGCG